GGGCGGGTTCAGAGGCCACCGCCCCCCTTTGACGGAGGCAGAAACCCAGGCCCAGGCCCAGGCCCAGGCCGGGGAAGTGAAGGATCAGAGTCACCGGGGAAGTCAGCGATGGAGGGAGAGCGAGGAGCCCAGGGCGGCTGGCGGCTGGCGGCCAGCTCCTCCTCTTTTGTGATAGAAAACTCAGTCTTGGCACCTCGGGCTCAAGGTCACGGTGGTCCATGAGCTTCTTTTCTTTCTTTCTTTTTTTAAAAAATATATTTTTATTGATTTCAGAGAGGAAGGGAGAGGGAGAGAGAGAGAAATATCAGTGATGAGAGAGAATCATGGATCGGCTGCCTCCTGCACGCCCCCTACTGGGGATGGAGCCCGCAACCAGGGCATGTGCCTTTGATGGAATCGAACCCGGGACCCTTTAGTCCACAGGCCCGTGCTCTATCCACTGAGCCAAACCGGCTGGGCCATGAGCTTCTTTTCTTCCCCATCTCTGATGGGGCTGAACACTGTCCTCAGGTTGGGGCTGCCCTCCCCCTTCTCCCCTCCTCCAGCGTGTCCTCGATTTTAATTTATTCCCCAGAGCCCAGCTGGTCAGGGAGTGTAGCCCAGGCAGCTGCAGTGGTTACCCTCTTCCACGCCAGGCCGGAGGGGTAGTGCCAGCGTCATTCCTTCAGCCATTCATTCAAAACAGATTTACTGAGGATCTGTTAGGTACCAGGCGCCATTCTAAGCCCCAGGGAGGGATCACCCCCTCCCTCACCGAGCTGGCATCCTGGCAGAGGAGACACACCATGAGTGAGGAAATAAACACAGACGCCCTCCAGCGGGCTCCGTGCTGCACACCGTGTGTGTGTGTGGGGGCGGGGGATGGCATTCGAAAGCGTGGCCGGGCCAGGCCTCTTGGAAGAGGTAGCATCTTGGTCTCAAAGTTCCCGTGTGGACAGGAAACTTTTAAAGGCCCCTGTCAGCTCTGAGGAAGGAAGGGGTCTGCTCTGTTTTCTAACTCCTGGAGGAGTGACCATCGTGTCCATAGGTGGAGGTTTTGTTAGCCTTCTCCGGGGTCCTGCCGGGTCTTTTGAGTTGAGAGAGGCACTGGCCTGTCACCTCTGGTCAGAGGCAGCCTCTCGGGAGGGGCTGGTGGGATTGGACTGAGGAGTTTTCTATGACCTGGAGAGTCTTCTGACCTAAAGATGGTCTTAGCACTCGGATTCTAAACACTGGGTCTTTGGTGATGCACACCCCCATGTGGTCTCAGTTTCCCCATGTGTCACAGGAGCCCCAGAGGTGTCTGGGGCCAGATGCACTTCTGTGCTCTACTAGGGAGGACATCTGGGGTGGTTGCGCAGCAGCCAGAGTTCAGG